TGCATGAGTCTCTATCACCAAAATATAAAAAACATACATATCAGGGGAATATATTTTGCGTCCTCAGCTCAGGAGGAAGGCATGGAACTGTTGTACTTTATACGAAGTACATGTATTTGTTGGTTTTGAATCCACTAGTTGTATCATTATATATGCATAGCTATATTCTGCATAAGCTCCTGACCTGCAATTACTGGGATATTTCAAACTGTTAAGGAAGAAAACTTATCCATCAGTGGTCTAAATTGCTATTAGAATGAAAGAGTAATTTGTGATAGGAAAGGATTTTGAAACAAGGTGAACTCACTCTCTCACCTTCTAGAAATTGCAGTGGAGCAATTACAACAGGCCTAACTATCTGAGGACACGGGAAGGATTTATGGGAGATAATTAGTAACATGAAATATTCAGACTACATAATTCCCACTTAAAATACCTCAGGTGGTCTGCAAAACTTTTTAGAAAGGCTAACAGCTAAGGGCAGTTTTCATTTAACTAAGGTTACACTACCCAGAGCCCTGTAAGAGGCCTTGTTATGTAAAAGAATAGCCATATTTAGTCTTACGGTAAGAATATTCTACTGCAAAGATAGGGCATGACTCTATATCATAGTTGCAAGAGCATCCAGCAAGTCAAAACTTGAGCCTCACAACTTTTTCCAGGATTACTAATGTATTTTACCATTTGTTGCACATAATATATAGGAACTGTCTTTGAAGCATGGACTACGCTCATGTTTCCAGGCCCTCTGCTTTCTGATCCTGTGACTTGTTTTCTGTGGAGCAGGTTAAACTGAACAGAAAGGAAAGACTGCATTCCCCTCCACTATCTCTCCTCCCTTCACTGTTCCCTCCACAGTAGCCTGGTAACACAGAAGCACTGCTGGGTGACTCTTCTTCAGGCTAAGAAGGGGATATAGACTGGCTACCTTCCACTCCCTTGGGCATGAACCACAAGGCTGGACTGTGAAAGAAGAGTTAAAACCAGCTCTGTCTCCTGCTGACATTGCACTGCGATGGAAAAAGTAATTTTTGAATGAAAACAGGTATCTCACTACCTTCAGGAGAGTGCATGAGGTACCTCTCCACAGCCCTGAATAAGTGGAAAATTTGAAAATGTATCCTTTTGCTTATAATTTTCAACTGTCAGACTTCAAGCACCACACATTAATTACACAGTCTGCACATGTATCTGATACTGTATCTTCTCTGCTTAGCTTCCTAGGGTGGTTTGGGTTCTGTCCTGCTTAGCTTAGCTTCCTAGGGTGGTTTAGCTTCCTAGTGTGGTTTGAGTTCTGTCCTACCACTCTATGTACTTCCACGCACTGTCTAGAGACCTTAAATGCCTAATTGTTGGTTTCTGTCTACCACATAAAAAGCCAAATACTATAAAGACAGATACATATCCGAGTTAGCAGCCAGAGGCATTCTGTGCCGTATCCCTAAGAAACTGCATAACCCCAATCCCTTAAATTCGCCAGGACTGATCTCCCGAGGTTGCTTCAAGTATCAGAATCGGTGACGTCGTGTACACACAGACTGTCTGGATAAGCTGCCCCACTTGATACTTTAAGAAAAATGGTGAAGTTGGGTGTAATACTTAAAATTTAGAGAATTCTGAAAAATATCTACCTGCAATCTAAAAAAGATTACTTCTGGAAAAGTTGCTTTTTTTTTTCCTAATTGTCATTGGAAGGTTATTACATTTTCTTGTTTGTTTTTTTTTCTGGTCTCCACATAAAACGAGAGAGTTGCTTAGCTGGGCACACAACCTGGCTGGGCTAGAGTTGGTCTGCGGAGGTGGCTGCTAATTTTCCAAGCTAGACTTCTGAGGGCAAAAATTTGTGCAAAAAGGGAAAACACGTTAATACTAATGTATCAGGACTTAAATATGTCATCAGAGAAAATTTTTGGGGTTCGGTAGATGTTTCACAATGGCTTCAGCTTATCTTTCAAAGGCTAAGCACAGCTTCAGGTGTTTTAGAGGAAAGGCAGTGAAACGCTACCGTGAGAACTCCCGGTATGATGAACAACATGTTGGCAGTGTAAACAGTGACTCCAAGGACATCTTCACCAGACATCCTGATACAAAGCCAGTATCTTTCACATTTAAATGTTTGGTTTCCTCAGGTATCACTCATCATCACTTCATGCATGTAGTGATCTTATTTGAAACTATAACATTTACTATAGTGTACTATTTCATCTCACTAAAAGATATGTCAATAAACTCTTCATACTCAGCCATAGGAAGGATTATGGTTATAAAATCAAACACATCTTTTCACGATTAGAAGCTTCTTACCTGAGTGGCTCACTAACTATGGGACATTTTTTATAAGACTGGGGAAAAGAATGTGTCATTGGAAAACAGAAAAGTGATCTAAGGAATCTTTGGAGGTAATTTTCTTTTGCAGTTTTATAGTCAAGGTAGTTAGTATCTTTGATGCATTCACTTAATTAAGCTGGGACTCCTGGCTGTCCACTTACAATTTTCTAGACTAAAAGACCTGGTAGAAATTTATTTTAAGTAGAAGACCTGGCATGTATTGCTTTGACTTGAGTCAGTCATTGGTATGAATTCATGGACTGAATGTGGTTTGATGGTCATCACTCATCACACCCCTGTGGATGTGCTTGGCATGTTCCAATTTAATTTCCTCATGTGAGACAGAAATAAGTATTACTACAGTTAGCAGTACATCCAAGCTTAGGAAAAAATTGTAATGCAAATTGTGTACTTCACTGACATGTTTATCCAAAATCCTGTTAAGAGAAACCCAACAAAAGAATTTCCATCACAATAGATATCTGATGATACAAATGAAACTATAGAGACTTTAAAATGTGAAGACCTACCTGGACTACTATTAACATTACATGCTCTTGAAGTATGATGTGTAAATGCAATTTGCACATGCATATGTGTGTGTTTTGGTTCTGTTGTGTGGTGTTTTGTGTTTGTTGCTTTTTTGTTTTTTGTTTTTTTTAATCTAATTGAACTATTAACATTTTGTGAGTGAATTTTCTTGGAATTCTTTGATCTTTAGATATCTGTGGTCTTGAGATTTGCAACAATTTCCAACTAACTATAAAGCTGAATTACAAATTAGTAAAGATTCACGAATTCATTGGATTAAACACTCATATATAGGTAGGTCCAGTAGAAAAATCCAAGCTTGAAATGAAATATTTAACCATAAGAAATTCTTTATGCTTCTAAAACTTTTTTACGTGATAGCCGATTAAGCTTCTTGTCTGTATTTTAATGATGTAATCTTGAATGCTTGGCATATTACCTTGCTTCCAGATGACTGCAAGTGAATTTTCAAAGTGGTGCATGAGACACAGGGACACAAATCCTGTTAGTAGTTAATGGGATTTTTTTGCACCTCCTGTGCACCACACTGAGAGACCTAGCCTTGAAATTTTCATTATCTATATTTGTTCAAAGATGATGTCTTGTAAATACAGGCCCTTCTGAATTGGCCAGATGACCTGTGTTTGACAGGTTAAACCCATAATTACTAAACTGATCTCACAGATATCTAGCATTGTTCCCAATTCCTTTCCTTTCCCTACGTTATTCCTCTTATAAGAAGAAAACAAGATTCCTACACCCATCACCATCAGCATCTTCAAAGGGAGTGGGACACAAGGGATGTCAACTTGATTACTTTCTCTAATAAAAGAAACTCAAGCTTTTCATAGCTATGCTTAAATACACACTTCCCTTCAAGTATACAAGTAGTCCTATTCAACTAGTGGGCACAGGGAGATGAGACAAAATGTGTAGAAAGTAATAGAAGTTACCTCAAATACTTACTGTTGTGGTAGACCTGGTGCACTTTATTAATCTGATGATTTACCATAGGTATTTTCATTCTGTATTAAATCTGTCCAGCTGTGTGACTACTGCAGATGCTACAGAAAATCATAGGCAACAGTCATGTATTTGCTGAGGCAATTGAGTATTAGCATTATGTCTTCAGAGTCATCCTTAAAGCTTTTCTGCTTTTTGTTTTTCGAATTCTTGATATTCCCTTTGCTGTAAGAATGTCCAATCTCTTTTATTTCTTTAAAAACTACCACATCATAATAATACCTTGATGAAATTGTTGTCATGGGTTAATTCGTATCTCAGAAAAAGAAAAAAAATCTTGTTTTAAGATGTTGTATGACAAAAAAATGTTGGGAACATACAATAGCATAAATGAGTCATGGTTGTACCTCGAAAAATATGTAAGCAGGCTTGCTTCATAACTCCTGATGAAGGACATAAATTTTCAGATAAGATCTAAAAACTTCCCTGTGACCAAAATTACTTCTCTTAAAGTTGACAGCGGTTTAGTTTATACGTTCAGAAATTCCTTGTTATTTTTCTACATAGCAGAAGATATTTGTTTGCATAATTATACATATTTGTATTTGATTAAGGAAAATGCAATTTTTTTTAACCTCATTTCATTGTCTTTAATAGAATAAAGGATTTTTTTTTCAGAAGATTAGCCATTTATAATTTCATGTGCACCACTGTACACATTTTAAAGCACACTTCTGTAAGAAGTGTTTTGCTCTTGCTGTAGAAAATACGTTTATTAGTAACAGTGAAGTAAAATCTATTCCTTAACAGTAACAAAAAAGCCTAATGATAATATCATGCATAAAACTTGTAACCGTAGTACTTGAAGCAGTAAAGTACTTCTTACGGTTAAATCAGTGTGCAGTTGTCACAATCCCCCATTTTTCAAGTTGCTAAATATTAGGTCTCTCTTTCCACCAGAAAAAAACTGTGCTGAAACAAAGATAGTATTCCTGACTGATGCAACAAATCAGTGGTAATACCACTTGGGATCTCCTGATGCTCAAACCATTAGTTCACCCTGACTAGACCAAACTTCCTTAAGGAAAAAAAAAATATATATTTTTTTAAGTTTATATTCTTTCTGAGTATCTTCTTAGGAAACTAATGAAATAAGATGGCTGCCATCAATACTCTTCCCCATATTTTCAGTCATTTCTTTATGGAAATGTCATGGTTGTTTGTATCTTATCCTGTGGTTGTTTTCCCCCCAAAGTCTGAGGTGGTGAGGAAGATGTAAGAGAAGAGAAAGGAGGTGGCAAGCAGTTTAGAGTTCTTTCTTGAACCTCTGCTTGTAATTACAGTGACAAAAGGAAAGCTTCAATAATTTTGGCCCATTTGTCTGCTGTTGACAAGATGCTTTGGAATTATACATGGTTGCAGACATTGGTGCTGATTGCCTAAAAGAGACAAACAAATAAAAATCCCAGGGATTTTTTATAAACAAACAAAAACAAACAAATATTTATTTGTTTTCTTATGAATTTAAACTTTAGAATGAGTTAATTTAAACTCTTACAAAAGCTGAGGAGAATTAAAAAATCACTGGGAAAAGTGGGTTCAAAGCAATACAAAATATTTCTCATCAGTCCTGCTCTGTTCTCATGTCTCAAGAAAACAACCAGAGACTGTTTCATGGTTAAAAAGATAGACATTCTATTATTATTGCATATCTTATCAGTATTTCAAAGCTTCAGGCTCAACTCTGCCTCTTTGGGCACAAATTCTTGGTGGTTACAATCCTCTGAAAAACAGTTAGGGAGTTACAATGGCATAACAATAGTGCTGTTCTGAAGAACCAAGGTCTTTGAATAATCATATCACTGCAAAGTAGTAATGTGTCATCCACCCAAATCTCACAGCATATACCAGAGAAGATAGATACAACTTGAATTGCTGCTTAAAGTGTGGATTATGTTTTACGTACCATTCAAACAGCAAACTCTCAATTAACGTTTGTTTGCCTGTGCCATACCTGATGACCCAAGACAGACATGGATATGCACTAATAGAAAGTCAGCTATTTCTTAAAATGTGTTTAAAAATTGAAAGAATATCTTTATGAGATATTATCACACAGGACTGCTAAATAATGCAAAAAGAGCCTGAGGGGGGTTAAAAAAAAATAAAATAAAAACAAACATGTAAGGGGGGGGGGATAAATATGTATTAAAAGATGCTCTGTGCTGGCAACACTCTGTTCTCATGAGGACAACTGAAAATTTGCCTACTGACTAAAAAACATTGCAGAGTACATAATAGAGATAAATGGTCTGGAAATGTCTCTTTAATCAGTCTCCATCTATCCAAGTTCAGTTTTCATTTGGAGGAGTAAGGGAAGCCATGGTAAAAAGTGAGAAACATCCTGATAACTTGGTGACTAACAAAAGAATGACTGCAGCAATACTTTCATTTGATGATTACAAATTATTAATAGAATATTTGAATTTTTTGTAACTGAGAATAAAGCCTGGGTGTACCTTGTGAAAAGCTTAACTAGAATGTAACTGCAATTGGAGGAAAAAACTTTTTATTTAAGACTAACCACTGATTTGGAAGTTACAGTATAACAAATATGCCTGCGTTCATGGGTTGTTTTGAAAGCCCTCCTTTCTGGTGCTTCCCAAAGTACCTATGTTTCAACACGTGCTTCATTTCAAAACTCAGAGCAAGCCCTCCTTTCAGGAGCTGCACTGTGCTTGGTGTGATCTGGGACACACTGCAGGTGTGTGAGTTGGAAAGTTCAGAGCCACTGCATAAAGTGCAGGCACTGCTTCGACCTGAATAAAAAGCAGACTCAATTATCTTTGACAGATGATTTTATTATTCAGATAACAGATTCACTTAATAAGGAACAGTTACAACAGAAAGTGACTGCCTCTTGATTAACCAGGACAAGTCCAAAACCATCAGATATTCTGGCTGTAACTGCTGCCTGAATCTTTTTAAGTCTGAAAACTCTCCGTGCCTGACCAAAGGGCATAGCTTCTCCTAAACTGTTATATCCACAAGTTTCAGCTAAATTTTAAAGTCTCTCAGAACATCCCTTCTCTTATTCTAATTTCTTTCATCATCTTCCAAATGAAGATGTTGAACTGCTATGTTATTAGTTTAAGAAAGAGTTGAAATGAAAAGGTTTTACTTTGAGTGTTAATTAAAGCAAACTAACATGTCAATGTTGCTTTGTTTATTGGTACCTATTACAATACCAGATCTGTCATATATGTAAAAAACAATTCTGCAAAGGGTTTGGACTCGCAAGTCCTTGACTTCCAGGCTTCAAAGGAAGATTCTCTCTCAAGGGCATACAGCTATCCATAACCTCCAGTTATGTGGTGAACCCTTAGGAAAAGTGGAAGAAGGATCCCTGACCATGACCCAAATTGTCATTAAATTGCTCTTAACATTAATATTTAATGAAGATTATGGTGCATCTGTAATCAGATTTCCTGTGTTTTCTGATACTGCCTGGTGACAACTAAAAAAACTCAACATTTCAAGAAAATGCATCTTAAAGCTCCCCAATAATGTCAAAACAAAGGAGAGGGTTCATAAAAACAAATAAAAAGACAAAGTGAAAGAAACATGTCAAAACAGTGTAGTTTTCCTAAATTCTCTGCTGAAGGTGTAAATTACCAGTCTGACACAACTGCTAGTTAGAGCTCTTTTGGTTAATAATCAGTTTAATCATAAAAATAACTCTTTAAAGCAGTAAGAGGGATTCTCTACCTATTCTGAAATTTCACTGCCCCAAAAGTAATCTCTTCTCCTCAAGAATATTTTTAAACTGTTAGTAAGAGCCATTATGATGGTAAATTTGTACTTGCAAAATGCTAGAAGAATGTTTTCTGACTTTTATTCTGGATTTTTGTTGAGCCTGACTTGGAAGTTTTCTTTTTAGTTTTAGGGAAACATTTTAAGAGTTAAGAGCAGGGTTAGTTATGAATGGAACTGATTGCCCAAGGAGGCTGCAGTTTCTGGAAAAGATGAGGCTTAACAAAGGTAGTCTTCTGATAAATCAGAATACCAAGTACAAAATTTCAAGAGGTGTCATTTAGTCTCTTCCTAAGAGGCTATGAATTCTGCCTAACTATTGCTATGTTATTGAAATCATTGATAAATAATTAAGAAATTATTTGGTTATGGATTTTTTTCTGAGTGTTATGAACAGTCGACTAGTAGGGCAGGTAAAACTGCTGTAGTGATACACTGGGTCTTTCAAGAACTCAGCCCCATCTAAGCTCCAGGGTCTTTTCAGCACTATATGCCCAAACCTCTTCTTAACTTGTCTCAATACTTGAGAAGATCAGCTTGCCCAGACCTTTAATTTTATTCAATTTATTCCACAGAACCTGAGCAGGTAGCCTTCGAAAGCTGCTTTAGCCTTCAAATTGCAGAGGTTTTGGTATCTGATATTTTGCTTAAGAGCAGCTACACTTAATTTACCTACCACTGGTGGTATGTGAGAACATGAACCACCAAGTAATTTTTACAGCTGTTCTGGGGTATTAAAGGCTACAAGCTTGGTGTCATAACTTAAAAGCAAGCTGTTTATCCGTGCCTTACTAACTGGTGGGTAAGGAGCCACTGGCTGCTCAAAGACGGTTATCTCTCCACAGACTGTGGAAGATACAGTAGGAGGTGCATGCATGCTGTAACCAGAGAACCAGCGCAAGTTCTAGAGCTCATAAGTTTACAAAGAACAAATTCATTAAGGTAAATATAGTACAGTTTACACAGATGAAAGTCTTGCAATTTTTCTAGAGCTTCAACAGGTGCTTCAGAAATACAGACATTTTCTTGTGCACCCTAAAATTGTGCTTAGAAGAGATTCTCCAAACTGCATGGAAAGCACTCATGTATGACAATGGCTGGGAACAATTTGTGCAAGCACATTACACTCTGGAAATTAGAATAGGTTTTGCTGGAGGTTGTGGTAGAGAAAGATTTATATTAGCTTTATTTTAAAGCCTTTATGTGCTTGTTGTTTCTTAGCCCCTGCTCATGAGGTCAGACAGAAAAAAAATTGTTGATATATTTCTGCAGATCATATCTGAAGAAGAAAGAAGAAAATTCCCAAGCAAGTTCACCTTTGCCTGTTATCATTGCACGAATATCCATCTTGTCCTTTGATATGGCTCATTTCAAATAATAAATAGATGCTTTTGCCTGGAGATTGAGTCAATACACGCTTCCTTTTAGCTGTACAATAAAAAGATGTCATGCTATGAGAGTTATAGTGTTCCTAATTTTCCACAGTCCTGGCAGATATTGATTGTGCACATATCAATATTTACATGAATGTAATCAAGCAAATGTAGTAGCTGACTAGCATTTCTTGTGGAACATGTCCCATGTATATCTTATTTGAAGTATGTGACTCAATTTTAGTATTAATCTGATCATAACAATTTTTGATGTGTACACCTATGAAGCAGTAAAACATGGTTTGTGAGGTGAAAAAAATAAACCCAGAACTGAAAATCCAGGATGGTTCCATGGGAACCTCCCATCCATGTCCACACAGCAGAGGGGCTCTTAGTCATCTCCCACTAATGCAAAGTATCTGTGTGCTTGTTGTTTTTTGGGGAAGGCAGTATGTGCTTCTTAGTAACAGTGCAGTGGACCAGGCATGCCTCCAAAGCAGAAATATGGTCCTTGTTCCTGTTCTCCCTCATTCTGCTACCTGTGACAGATTAGCTATTAATGAAAGGAAAAAATACTATTTGGGTTGGCTTCCTGAGCTCTGTGACTAATGCTCTGTATCTCAGGTCAGTATTTTTGATAGTCAGTGGGTCTTTTTCAGAAATACTGAGCCTAGATTCAGGTAGTCTCATGAACACGTAAACATTCATTTTACAAGTTTTTAGCTTTCCTGGTTCTAAAAAGAAGAGCAAATTTAATCTAGAACTTCAAAAATATCACAAGGCAAAAAATCCTTTATTTACACCGTTTTACTGCTTGTAAGTATGTATATTAGAAATCCTCTTTAATTCAGAAAATTTATATCCAGAGTAGCTATGGCTGTAGCTGAGAATATAAAAGCTCACAAATATCTTTGAACATCAGACTATTCTCTTTAATACAGACCTACCAATTAATGGACTGTAAAGATGCATAGTTATTTCACAAAGAATACCCTGTGTCCTATACAACTTAAATCTTTTGCAGAAATGAGAGCATCGTCAGCTACATTTTTGATATAGTTTCTCTACGATGAGATCAGTAAACACCCCTCAAGAAACCTGAAAATAAAAATAAAAGTTATTTTTCACCATAAACTGTAATTACTTTAATTACAGGATGATTATATAAATAATGTGTTTGAACACAGACTTCGTTTTTTTCTTTGTTTTCTAAATATTATCCTCTTTCTGTATTTTCTGATGTGTAAACAAGAAACAGTTAAGTTCAGATGAAGAGCAGGTGAACTGCCTGTAATACAAACTGAGACAATCCAGTGATGATTAAGCTATTGAAAATTACCTGACTAATGGATAATTTTTAAGTCAGCAGGTGTACTTAGTTATTATAACTTAAAAATTGAAAATATGTTTAAGTTCTAACCCCCTGTATGTTAACAGGACTGGTCTATCACTGATAACCATGCCAGAAAGTTCTGTGCACTGTTAGAAACTCAGGTTTTACTCACAAAGTGTCAATGGAAGATTAAAAAAACTTCCAGAGATCTTCCTTAGAGCAAAGATTTGGGATTATATTACTGTAAATATGTGTTTCTATAAATGGACTGTTTCAGTATCCAAAAGACAAGGAAAAAAATAAATATCAATTCCCAGCTAATGAAAGTGATTACAGATTTTTTTTTCTTTTTGCAGTTCAGATACTTCATTCTTGACCTTGTTTTCTATACCTTTGTTTACCACCTAGTATGTTAGATGTGCAAATATCACATCTTGTGAAACTCATGGTCCTTGGTATGATTATAATAGGTAAATTCACTTGCACGGCACTTAAATGGGTAAACCCATAAGGTTAGTTTCATACGCCTAATAGTGATTGATAGGTGAGCTTCATACCATCTAAATCTGAAAGAGATAAACTTTGTTTAAAATGCATTTAGCTGTGACTATCCTATAAGCTTAATGTAGAGCAGACATGCCATTTACACCTACTTCAGGCTTTCATGTATAACATGTTAAATCATCACTATTAAATACAGTGCCGCTACATATAGAGATGCCAAAATTCCTTGCAACCAGTTCCCATTGCTGTTCAACTCACTCACATTCTCCAAGATTTTGAAATGGGTTCTCATCAACTGTTTAGAAAACTTAAGTTGCATGTGCAGCTTACTAAATATCAATGTGCTTTCCTAAAAAGATAGAAAATTCTGATCAGTGATAATCAGTATGAGAAATTAATGTAAAGACTGAATTAATCCAGCTAGTGAGTAGCTGCTAATACAGTTAAAATTGCTATAAGACTGTACTCATGCAATCTTCCTCTTTAATGGCATCAAAAAATATTTTACAACATAACTCTAAATACTGCATGAATATATCTGTTGGTTGTTATTTCTAAACTGAGAAAACTCAGTTTTATTAAAGCAGTCAGTATCCGTATGAGCTATAAGCATATATGTTTCTGGATTTCTTTGTGAGCTGTATTCTATCCTAGACACAAAGTTTATACTGGGGTAATATCATGATTTTTTTTTAGGTAAAGATATCTTGTCGGGCAATTGGCAGTGAAACCACTTCCAAAGGGATCATGTCACAAGTCACATGCAAACAGAAGAAGAGATTTCAGCTCCAAATCTCAGCCATAAACAATGGCTTATCATTTATCACCAGTGTTTGGAAATCTTAACACTAAAACAGGGGTTTTGCTGCTGTTTTGCACTCTCAGGGGTGAGATTCTATGCCAACACACCCAATGCAAGTCTCCGCAAATCTCTGCAGAGGTCCCAGATCCCACAGTGACTTCTCATTTTAAGGAAACCTGGAAAAATTCGGAATGTGTCAAGCAGCAGACTTCCTTGCCCTTTTGGAAAGCGTCCAGCCACTCAAGGCACTGGTTTATACTATGTGGTATAGCTGAAACAAACAAACATTTACTGTTTATCTAGCAAACGAGACAACCGCCTATGACCTCCTTCTGCTGCTCTGAATGTATAGCTACACACACTTCAGTACTTGCATACCAGTATTACCACTCACATAGAACACAAACAGCAAAAGAACTAAGCCATCGCAACAGCAACAAGAATCTCTTCTGTATCTGAGGTCTCTTCATTCTTGTGAGTTAAAAGCACAGAGCAATAAATATCATAAAGACAGAACTAAGGGCAAGAAATGCCCATTTGCTTTTAATGGGACTTCACAGACTTCCTTGACCTGATCACAGTGATGTAGTGTGTGAATGATGTCATTTTACTGATCTAAAAGGAGTTTCCTTTTTGTCAGAGGCAAGCCATCATAAACTCTGAAATCACCAAATTGCAGCACTATTTACCAGGAAAAATTTATCCTAAAAGTCCGAGTTTATTCTTTCAAGCATAGTTAACACTTATGTAGTCACAGCACTTCAAATTTTGCTTGGAGCATAAATACAAAGTTAGAGAATTGCAGAAGAGTTTTATACATCCTTAAAATTTATGGCTTATACATCCTCAAAATTTATGGTTTATGCATCCTTAAAATTTAATAATCAGGAAGTGTTCCCATGTATGAAGATTAGGTATTTATTTCCTCTGCAAGCTGATGAGCATGGTTTTTCTGATCACAAACTGTGTACTTTCATTTTCACTCTTTCTGGTTTTATTCACCTCCCTATTGCTAAACAATTAAGTGGCAGAAACTGTTAATATTATGTTAAAACTTCATCCTATTTCACGGCTTTTTTTCCAGTCTTGTTCCAGTATTTTCACGGGAAAACATGGATGGAAACACTTAGTAAAACAAAAGACATGCAAAATATCTGAAGTATGACATTTGCAGATAATCTTCAAAACTAATTGCCATATGAATTAAAGAATTGAAACCACCAACACGCTGCAGTTTCTAAGATTTTTTTCTTGCAAATATAGGAACATTTGCATTGCTTTAAAAGATGCATGTGTATGAAGCATTTCTCAATAAAAAGCATCAAAATCATGCCCAAAAGGTCATTTTGAGCTCTCTTATATGCATGGTATCATCTGCTACATGAAATAAGGTAAGCTAGGAGGATAAGCAGTTTCCTTTAATGGGAAAAGATGGCAATTTCTCCAACAAATAGCTCTGTATGATGGTAGTACAGCTCATAGAGAGGGAAAAATTGAGGGGAATTATACTGCAGAATCAACATCTTCTCCAACCCCTATGGGAAAGAGCTGTCCTTTAGACCACTTATTCTGACTGGATTTGTCAAGTGCAGTATACGTCCATGTCAAGGATAGATTTATTTATTTATTTACTTGATTTCTCCCAGATTTAGGTACCAGGTTCATTAAGTTTATGATTTGCATACCTTCACTTAGTATTACTGTCTTTGTTTATTCTTTGAAGGGCACTTACTACACTGCAAATGCAGGGTAACATGCACTATATACAGATTATAGCTATAAATAGGTATGCTGCTGTTTGGCTTTCTTTAAAGTTCCAAGAAGCTACTTAAAAGCATCAGCATTGTACTGCAAAAATATGTCTAATGAATTATCATGTAAAATGTGTGTTTACATGAAGCATGACAATAATGCCGTATATTCACATGTAAAACAGGAGGCTTTTCAACAGGATATTAGTAAACATCATGCAATGATAACAGCAGGTGTTCTCCTCCTCTGACCCTAAATTTTATTATGTTTATGGTCTCTTATCCCTGCAGTTCTCTAGATATGACCTGAAAATAAAAGTGCTCCCTCCAGGTAAATAATGGCACAATCTGTTTAGACAATTGTAAAAACTCTTGTTTTTTCTTACTTCAGGAATTCTGAGTTAACTAGACTTGGCTGATTTAAATCTCTGGATTAACATTTGGAAGTAGAATGGCATGACATCTCAGTGTAGCTGTTCTGGAAAAGGAACTGCAGGATGCACCATAATCAGCTTCCTCACGAAAAATAATTAAATATAACTGGCTGAAACCATATCTTCACACTGTCATTTTTAATGAATGGAATTACATCAAATTTAAACTAGGGCCTCAAAAGTCACATAAATCAGAGATCCTGGTAATGTCTTGTGGAGTTCCAAGATAAAACTTACGTCTTTATGTTTTGCTCATTCTTTTCATAATGTCTTTAAACTTACTCATTTTCTTTTCAGAAAACCATTTTCTTTTCTTTTTCCCCAGCTGAGAGAACTGGGGGTATTCAGCCTGGAGAAGGGTCACGGGAGACCTTATCACTCTCTCTGCAACTATCTAAAAGCAGGTTGTAGTGAGGTGGGGGTCAGTCTCTTCTCCCAGGTAACAAGCAATAGGACAAGAGGCCTCAAGCTGCACCAGGGGAGGTTTAGATTGGATATTAGGAAAAACTTCTTCACAGAAAGGGTGATCAGGTATTGGAACAGGCTGCCCAAGGAAATGGGGGAGTCACCATCCCTGGAAGCGTTCAAAAACATGTAGATGAGGCCCTTATTGACATGGTTTAGTGATGGACTTGACAGTCCTGGGGTAATGGTTGGACTCTATGATCTTAAAGGTCTTTTCCAACCTAGCTGATTCTATGATTCTATGACTCTATGTAGTACCTATTTTTGTCATGACTTACTGGAGCCTTATTTGGAGTAGATTATCCATTCAATACCATAATGCATTATACAATGGATCTCCATCTAGGAATTTTGGTCTTTCAAAATGCTGAGATATAAAGTGTTGAAATACACCTAAAGGATAATAAAATTATTCTTTATTTTGAATTTACACAAACATGGTAAATTTAAGTGTGTGACTAGAACTATGGTATAGAGTCAGATTCTCAGTCCCAGAAATGCCTGTTTGCATCTTTCAATCAACAAATAGGGTTTCTGCGAAAAAATGCTGGAAGGTAAGCAAGACACAGGACAAGATCTATTGGAACAAGATGGTACAGAGAAAACAAGCTAAAGAAACACTAACCAGCAAGTGGTCATAATAAAACATATATAGGAGCTAATCCTTCTCCCACTAAAGGCAGTGGCAGTTCTACAGTCAGGTGCAATTGCACACATCACTCTGATAAGGTACACAGAAATAATATTTAAAGAAAGGGGAGTGTGACCAATTTAGTGTTTTATGTCAAAACACTCATATACTAGGGACATTAGGATCCCCCCAAATGAAATTTATTTTTGGTTCACGACTCATTCACAAACCAATCTTGATTTGTGTTAATACATTCCTATTGTACGTCTTTGATAACTGGCTCAGCTAAATGATTTTTAGTCACTGTGTTGTTCATGAAATGCTCATTTTGATTAATCATTATTTGTGGGATGTTATTGGTCATAGAGTGCAGTTTCTGCTTCTTGATTAGATAACTGAAGGTTTAACAAAAGATAATGAGTTATGACCAACAAATAATGAACAATGAGCAATGAACATTTCAGGTACAAATTTGGAGAATACTGGTGATTCACAGACACTTTTGCATATTGTGAACATTGCACCATTAATATTTGGAAACATCTGTCATGGTGGCAAGAGTAACAATAAATTTAAGATCATCAATTACTGACTATGTTGTAAATGTATTTGTTGTATCATTCCACCAACTCTAACTCTAAAATAGATAGATAAACTTTATGCAACCTATTTAATAGATGCACAGGAGTTCAAATTGAGAAGCAATTCTAAATAAACTCCTCAGTGTCCTTCTCTATTGGTTCTTTTTCCATCTAAAATCTTCCACAATTATTCTTTTTGAGACTAAATAAAAAATCTATCTCCACCTGAGAATAAAATCAAATACCAGATTTTTAAAATTACATAAAACAGGTTAGTTTTTAACAACTGGTTTCATCAGGAAATCAAGCACGGAAGGTCAGGACTTTTATGACTTCTTGTTATATTTGAGTTACAGAAACTACATTAGATTAGTCTTTCCCTGGTTTTTAGAGACAAACAAACCTGTGAAATCCTAAAATAAACTTGCTGGGGTATTTTGTGTTAAGGCTGAAGTAAGAGTAGGGTTAACTTCCACTAAATACAAACTAGCTTAAGCATTGTGTTCTCTTATGGGACCAACAAGAAGAACAAATACAAAACTTGCTGTAGTTTCATGAAACCCATCAGCAAGCAGTGAAATTCTGTTTCTAAGCAGTCATCATGTAAGATGCTATAAATACTATCTCTACCTATATTTTCTGGAGTTTTTGTGTTTGATGTTATTTTGGGGGGAGTTTTATTATTTTTATTTTACTCCATGGAGCTATTCTGAAATCTATGGATTACAAGACAAAAGAAACATTGAGACATGCAGAGAGAAATCTCACATTGGAGCTGCAGCGTTCATGTATTTAGGAGCTGAATTTGGATAGCTCTATTGCAGGAATCAAGTTGGAATTTAAAACAAACCCTTACAGTGGCTGTGCTTTCTGTGGTCTTTGTTCCGTCAGGTAGATTTCATTCCTGCTCTTCACTTTCTCTGATGTTTAAAATGGCTCCTAGGAGGATAAATCAGTTTCTCTTTTCATACAGAAAGTTAACACAAACACTAGATAACTTGCAGAGACTTCAAAGGAAAATGATAAAAATGCTTTGCAGATATATATAAAAAAAAAAATCCTCAGCAGTCTTCATCCTCTCTGCATTTCCTCAGCTCTACAATGAACAGACATGCTTAAGAAATTTTGGCTGAAAAAGGCCTAGTGAATTTTCAGAAAGCATTTTGTGTTCAATTCAGTGCTAGAGAAAATGAGCATGGACGTTTTTCTAATCTTAGGATCAAAGTGAGTATCCTACTGCTTCTGAAATTTAACCCTGGAATTTAATGAATATAAATACAACTGGTGGCATACTCTGGTTTTGAAATCAAAATTGAATGGGGTTTTCTATATCTAATTTAAAAATAATTATTTCTTGCATATATATGTATATGTATGTATAATATACATATGCATATATCTATATATGGCATAACCATGCTTCTCCCAGACAAGAAGATTGAAAATCCAACATGATCTATTCTTTCTGTGTTTAACCAAAGGACCTGTCTCACTATAGAATTTATTATTCAGTTTCTTAGACATACTCCCATAGCATGGCAAACAATTTTTATTTATCAGCAAGGTATATTTAACAGTATATTTCTGAAGTGGTGAAAGATGTTTATGCTGTTCAGCCAACATAAAGGACTAAATTCTTAAGATGAGTCAATACAAAGAACGGACTATAATTTTTTTAAAACTCAATATGTGACTTAAGTTAACCCTTAGATAAAATTTTAAAGTTTCTGTGGCAAGTAGGAGCAAAGACATTTAGAAAGCAATGCGGGACACCTAATGTAGCTCTCCAGTACCTTGAAATATCCATGATTTTGAATCCAGGTTACAGTGTGAGGGCCATCTATGTCTGCATGCAGGCTGTTTTCTCACCATCTCCAGATTTCTTCTCTGAATTTTTCTTATGGCCAAGGACATGTAGATGGGGACAAAGTAGATCCTGACACTTCTTTTTCCTTACATGAAATCAGAGCATCATAGAATAATTAGGGTTGGAAAGGACCTTAAGATCATCAAGTTCCAACCCCCCTGCCGTGGGCAGGGACACCTTAAGCTAAATCATATCACCCAAAGCCTCGTCCAACCTGGTCTTGAACACAGCCAGGGATGGAGCATTCACAACCTCCCTGGGCAACCTATTCCAGTGCCTCACCACCCTAACAGGAAAGAATTTCCTCCTTATATCCTACCTACATTTCCCCTGTTTAAGTTTTAACCTGTTACCCCTTGTCCTATCACTACAGTCCCCAATGAAGAGTCCCTCCCCAGCATCCCTATAGGCCCCCTTCACATACTGGAAGGCTGCTATGAGGTCTCCATGAAGCCTTCTCTTCTCCAGGCTGAACAGCCCCAACTTTCTCAGCCTGTCTTCATACAGGAGGTGCTCCAGTACCCTGATCATCCTCGTGGCCCTCCTCTGGACTTGTTCCAACACTTCCTTGTCCTTTTTATGTTGAGGACACCAGAACTGTACACAATACTCCAGGTGAGGTCTCACAAGAGCAGAGTAGAGGGGCAGGATCACCTCCTTCGACCTGCTGGTCACGCTCCTTTCGATGCAGCCCAGGATACGGTTGGCTTTCTGGGCTGCAAGTGCACACTGCCGGCCCATGTTCATTTTCTCATCAACCAACACCCCCAAGTCCTTCTCTGCAGGGCTGCTCTGAATCTCTTCTCTGCCCAACCTGTAGCTGTCCCTGGGATTGCTCTGACACAGGTGTAGGGCCTTGCACTTGGCATGGTTAAACTTCATGAGGCTGGCATCAGCCCACCTCACAAGCGTTTCAAGGTCCCTCTGGATGGCATTCCTTCCCTCCAGGGTATCAACCGAACCACACAGCTTGGTGTCATCGGCAAACTTGTTGAGGGCGCACTCAATCCCACTCTCCATGTCAGCGACGAACATGTTGAACAAGAATGGCCCCAACACTGATCCCTGAGGGACACCATTTGTTACTGGTCTCCAGCTGGACATTGAGCCATTGACCACAACTCTTTGCATGCAGCCATCCAGCCAGTTCTTTATCCACCGAGTGCTCCATCCATCAAATTGATGTCTCTCCAATTTAGAGACAAGGATGTTGTGGGACAGTGTCGAACGCTTTACACAAGTCCAGGTAGATGACGTCAACTGCTCTATCCCTGTCCATCAGTTCTGTAGCCCCATCATAGAAGGCCACCAAATTGGTCAGGCAGGATTTCCCCTTAGTGAAGCCATGCTGGCTGTCACCAAGCACCTTGTTGATTTTCATGTGCCTTAGCATGCCATCTAGGAGAATCTGCTCCAAGATTCAGTAATGCTGAAATTGCAAATTATGCTTACTTTCCCTTGTTTTCATTTTCTGAAATATGTTCCTCTTTTCTCAGGCCTTCACACAGTACCAATCACTCAACAGGAGCAGAAATGTCTAGGAAGGAGCCCTGAGAAAGCATAAGCCACCATTTTTTTCCTTCACTCTGCAGGAAGATGCTCTTTGGCAAACTCTGGCAGCAGACAAGAGAAGTCTATGGCTATATCTGTGTGTTACTTATGCAAAAACTTGCTGCTGAATACCTGCAAAATATGATTTATCATCATAACTATTTGTAAAGGTCTGCCTCATGTCCCACACGGAAGGGAAGGTGCAAATTGCTCAGATGGAGGAGCTCTCTGCTGTAACATGCTTTGCAAAGAGGAGATGTAGAAGAAAGTTGATATAGCTGTAACTTACACACATTTGTTTCTGAAAAGCCAAAGGACCAAACCAGTGAAAAAGCAACCCCACTGTGATTTTTGCTACTGCAAGGGAAGACCAGTGAGCAGCCTGGCCATTGGGCTTTCATTATGAGTTTTGCTGCCTACAGAGGTGAGGAAAATCCACTCTCTAGCCCTCGATTTTCTCCTTTCTCTCTCCAATCACTTGCTAATTTTTGCCTCATTTTTAGATTTTAATTATCCCATGCAGAAGACTTATTATGCTTCATTTTATTAAATTAATAATTATGATTCCAAATGAAGTGTGTTCTAAGGTACAGTCTCCCACTGAGTAGTTCAGGGCCCTACATATATAACTTGCATTATCTGCAACAGTCATTACCTACTTAACCATCTCACAGCTTAATGGAAACTAGGCTTCTGAACACAACAGTAAGATCCTCCAAATTTCTGGTTTGCAGTGACACAAGGACCCTTGGAGGTTTAACCACTCATGGAATAGGTTTTGCCATGGCCTTGTGTGACACAAAGAAACCTGTGAATGAAGAGGTGGAAGTAATTTCAGCTGCTTTGTTTCTCTTCCATTAGCTTTCCTTGTACGTATTTGTAAATGCATGCACATGCATTTACATGCATACCTCTGATCATGCATATATGTGTATTCATGCATGGACATATTAGTGTTTATATTTACCTAACCCCCAACATTATATATTCATAATCATTGTGACCATTTAGGCTAATTCCAACAAAGCTTTCACTGAGATTCTGGTTTCTCAACTCCTAATGATATATTCATGCATAACTGAGCACGTAAATCAATGACTCACATTTAAATACATATTTCTTCACATGGTCTTTAAAACAGTAATCAATTTTTTTTAAACCTTGATATAAATATTATCTTCTTGCACTACCTTGGTTGGCAGTGTGTACTGAACTTACTGAATGTAAGTCATGTTGGCAGTATTGAGTTCATTTATTTTAGACATTACAGAGTCCTGGGCCTGACAAATATTTGAGCTAGAGGCCATGTAGCAATTTCAGATACTATAGGCTCAAGGCAAATAATTAGGGAAAAATACTAGATTGAGGAAACAGAGTTGAAAAGCTCTATTTGAGCGATAGTGGATGAAGAAAAAGCAAACAAGAGGATGAACTGCTGTGAGGTCTTATTAAGAAAGCTGATATGTATAGACTGTCCACTGCCCCTGGCTAAATGGGATCAGGGAACAGCTCCCAGCTCACAGGCCCTGTCCTGTACTTTACATACATCCCAGCTCTAGATTCAGATGAGTCTAATTTGTACACTGTTCTCCCTGTCTTGATCTTCTGTAGGAGAAAAACTGAAAACCACACAACAAAAATGTAGAGCAAAAAACCTGAAAACTCTAGCTTGGTCCCCCCTGCTGCCAAGTTGCACCAGCCACGCACCATACTGTTACTTTACATTCCTATATTGCTTGAGGGAGATTGCTTTATACACTGAGAGCTCCACAATTGAAGAATTTATCAGAAATTCACATAGCAACACTCTTCCCTTTGCATGGTAGCTATCTGTTTGCTGGTGTTATATTTAAAAAAAACTAAACTTATGCTTTCCACAGCAAATACATGTCTCTAGCTGTCCCCCTTTTCTTTTTTTTTTGTGAAATAGGTTAGCGTAATATGTATTTGCCATTCCAAGAATGAGATTAAGGAAAAGTATGCTGTTATGTCTATTTTCACAGCTATATTGTGAGAAATGTTAGTATTTCCATTCTTTGCTGTAAAATTGAAACACCTAGCAAGAAAACAATCTCATGTAAAAATGTACTTTTTGCAGATCTGCTAAAAAGATTCAGCAAAAACTCAAACTTGGTCAAATTACATGACTTTGAAAAGCATATCTTAGGGTGGTTTTAGAGGTCCATTTTCTGAAGATCTTAATAAGGTTCGGTGTAACTGTGGAAAAACTACATCTGATCCCCACTATATATGCTTCATCACCACAAGCCATCAGAACTTTGAAGTTTGAAACCTGGAAGAGGAAAGCTGGGACTGTCTGTAAAGACCAGCCAAAGTGGGCAAGAAGCTTGTGGCATACAGAATCATAGATTCATGGAATCATAGAACAGTTTGGGTTGAAAGGGACCTGCCATGGTTTAAGCCCAGTCGTAAACCCAGAACCACGCAGACACTCACTCACTCCCCCACCTTCCTCCCCCTGCTCCCGGACTGATGGGGAGGAGAATTGAAAGAATGTAACTCCCACGGGTTGAGATAAGAACAGTCCAGTAACCAAGGTATAACACAAACCACTACTGCTACCACCAATAATAATAATGATACGGGAAATAACAAGGGAAGAGAATACAACCACTCACAACTGGCTGACCGATACCCAGCCAGAACCGAGCAGTAATCTCATCCATCAGGGTAACTGCCCCCAGTTTATATACTGGGCATGATGTGCTGTGGTATGGAATACCTCTGGCTAGTTTGGGTCAGCTGTCCTCTCCGCTTCCTCCTGGCTTCCCCTCCTCCCTGCCAGAGCATGAGACTCACAAAGTCCTTGGTCAGAGTAAACATTACTTAGCAACAGCTAAAAACATCGGTGTTATCAGCACCATTCTCAGGCTGAAAGTCAAAAACACAGCACTGCACCAGCTACTAAGAAGGAGAAAAATGACTGCTACTGCTGAACCTAGGACAGGACCTCAAAGGTCATCAAATTCGAGGTCCCCCTGGAATAAGCAGGGACATCTTAAACTAGATCAGGTTGCTAGACCTCCTTCCAGCCTGGTCTTTAATGCTTTCAGGGATGGGGCATCTCCTGCCTCAGGAGCTGATAGTGTAGATCAGTAAATATTCAGTTCTAACCAAGCTTAGTCCATTAATTGACAGATGGTGTCAAGTTCTTGAGTCTTCATACCTTACTTCGCATAGTGGTCCTGAAATGTATATTAAGGATTGCATCTGGGCTTTGCGGGTGACAAAGTCTTTAATTGAAAGAAAAGTTATAGTATCTCAGTGTGGTTGAATAAGTGGACTTATCCTGTTATGCGGATTTAACTTTTAGCAATAAAACACTCTTCCATATTATTATGAAATCAATATGCAATTACACAGAATCATCCTGTCCTCCATAAGTATGTTGCATCACATAAAATTTAAGGCCATAGAAAACCTAGTGAAATTAAATTCTAAGTGCTTTTTCAACTCTCATCAAAGACAGAAAATGG